GGCGCCAAGTGGCGGTGCCCGCCTAAAGCAGCAGATGAAATAGTGTAGAGCAGTGGTGTGCTGGTTGGGGGAGTTCCTGCTGCTCCCTGAGCGTGAAAGCCTCAAAGCTACCGAAGGGGGTGCAAAAAAAAAAAAAAAGCCAGAGTTAGGCAGGGTCTTTTACAGGGGAAAATTAATGAGCTGGGTGGCCAGGGAAAGGGTCCGGCTCCAGGAGAGGCATAGGGAAGGGATCAGGGCATTAGTCTGCCACTGAGATGATGGATAGAGCCCGTTGGGAGGATACCCCCCTATTAGTAGCTAGCCAGCTAAATCATCCTGCCGGTCACCACGGTGATGGAATCAGCTGTTTAATTAAAGGTAAGCTTCCTGATAGGTATCTCACAGCCTGTGCTCAGTTTTAGCATGAAAAGATGAGTATAAGAAAGATTCAGGTTAAAAAAATAAATAACTGAGAGATGCTGCAGCTCAGAGATCTTTATGAAAGGCAGTGGCTTCAATTAAAATTATGGAGCAGCATCTCTCTGTTTCTCAGCTGGAGCTCTCCCTAATTTGACTTTTCACTATTAATAGCAAAATATTTACTTTTCAGGAAAAGCCCTGTTACTTAAATAGGCCAACCTTAAAAGACGCATCTACCAAGAAGAAGAATGGGCGATCTGTTGAAGACATTCAAGCGTTGTCCCACCCGACCTCCAGAGGAGAGAGCAGCAGGGCCACATCCATGCAAGCAGTGGAATGCCAAACTGATGCTTGACGTGGATGCCGCTCCTGCCTCCTCGCACCCAGTAGTATCGAGTAATAAAAAAATCCACAAACCCACAATTGTAAAAACAAGTCTAGCAAAGAGCAGGGAGACTTCAGGGCTTCCAACTCCAAACCGCTTTTCACTTCAGGTCCTCCTGTGCTGTATATCAGACACTGCTCCCTCCAAAAAAGCAATTTCCCTCTATAGACCTCTGTCCCCCCGACCCCAAGGCTGCATGACAGTGGTTGAGATGCAGAGAGCATTAACCGTATCTTCTGAGGATCGCCAGCCCACAATCACACCTCCACATCTCCAGGGGCACCAGGGCCACCACAAGTACACTGGAGGGCAAGCAGGTGTCCCAGTGACACTCCATCCCAGGTGGCTCCAGCGTCATCCCCTTGCTGTTCATCAGCCCCAGCTGCCAATCGCCATTACCAGAAAACCACTGACCTCTCATCTGCCTGGATGACTGCAGACACAAGCTCAACTGCAGCTCTAATAAGAAAGGGTATTTCAGCTCCTAAAGTCTGTCACCTGGGGTAAACCTTGACAAACCGCTTAGACAGACAGAACAGCACCACAATAGGTGCATACAGAAAGGGTAACGTATGCTTTAGCAGTGATTTGATGTACATACATCCTGTTTCCATGGCATGAGAAGTTCTTCCTCTTGACTGCCATGCTGGCTCATAAGACATCTCAAAGCAGTTACTTTCCCTTCAGCGCCCTTCAACTCATTAGAAGAAAACCACAACGTACAGTATTTTTCAGTGATCCAAGCAAGGGCAGCCTTCCCTCCATCTCTGCTGAATGCCACCCTAGACTCCCGAACGCCCGCAGCCTGCTGCGACAGGCAGGGTAAAGGTATTTAGCTGGCTGATACGAATATACATGCAAACAGAACGGCCATCTGCAGCAATGCCTGCAGCACGATGTGGTGCAGCTCGGTGAAGATACCTCTGGGGAGTGAGTTGGTGCTGGGGCATCACCTGCGCGTGCCTTGGAGGTTGTTTTACTCCAGATCTGCTACAGCAGGGTCTTGTGGACAACATCTGGGAGCAGTCGGGACACAGCAAGCACGCTCCTGCAGCACCACTTTCATGTCAGCACCAGCCAAGATGAATCCAGCTCATGTGCCCCAAAACCACCCTGCAGTGCCATCTCAATGGGGGAAAAATCAGGAGGTTTGCCTCGAAACATGAAGTCCAAACCAAAAGCATTATGGCAAACATGATGAACGACTCTTCCTACTTTTGCTGCCAGACCTCCAAGAGACGATTTCATCGCTAATGGCTAGCAGCAATAGCTAGGGAGGTGTCAGACAGCAGCCTGCCCTGGGGCTGGGGGGCACAGACCCTCCCCTCCTGTCAGACATATACACTCTTCCAATACAAGAGCCCAGATTCATTTGAAAGGTTTTAAAACCCTTCTTACCCCAACGATACAAAATAAAATGTGCTCCTCTGATGCAGCATGCCATAGGCACCTCTGCTTCCATGGGCACTTGGGATAGAAGAAACCTGACCACGTGCTCCCTTCAGGACACAATTAAGATGCCATTAGCAAAGAAAAAATGAAGGAAAATATAAAATTATCTTGCTGTATCAGAGAAGCACCAAGAGGCATTGCTAGCGCATGGTTACAGGCAACACAATCAGCAAGACAAGCTTGCAAGCTACGGCAACTTGCTGCAAGAAGTGACACCCGAGGAGCTCATCCAAAGGGGTCTACAACATTCCTGCCATCCCTAGTGGAGCCTGCACGTGCCACAGGCTTATTTTGCAGGAAGAATTTGGAGTAGTACCCTTATCTGGTCCTTTTCTAAGCAGGGCAGAGAGTAAAGATTTAACTACTATGGGTTGGAAATGGGGAAGCTTTGGCAAAGCTTCAGGAGGGGCTTTTTTTGGGGTGGTTTTTTTTTTTTGGTAATTGCAGTTTCTGTTCTTAAGAATCTAGAGTGGCGCAGTTTGGGAAAACACTGACAGAGCACATCAGCATCACCTTACTGGCAGTGGTGGTACCCACCCTACGTTTTGTTTTTCCTACTAGAGGTGTCTCATCTAGCAGCAAGCCATCCTTTGGCTTTCCTTGGGCCACTCTGAGCCCAGCAATACCAGTGGAATCCGCGGGGTAAGCAGAGGACCGGGCAGTCCTGCTGCCCACATGCCAAGACACGAGGTTTGACTGGTAACTCCTCGACAGCGAGGGTTTCCAGGCTGGGAACAGCTGAGCTTAGGCAGATCCACAGACAGCAGAAACTTGTATACTCATTTAGAAGATTACCCTTCCCTGCCCCAATTCTTATGAAACTTGCGTGTCCCTTCCCGGACAGATCCACCCTGTCCTTTAAGGGCATCTTTGCCATCTGTGGCAGCGTGCGGTGGCTGCTCAGGGCTGTGTCCTTCACACAGGCACACTTTGCAGCGTCTCAGTTACTCCATTACAGCACATGGAGCCACATTAAAAGTCCATTCAACACTCGGCAGGACTTGGCTGTAGGGGAGTTACTGGACTTGCCATACAGCAGCAAAAAGTCTTTTCTTTTTTCAGGGCAAAGCTGCTCCTTGGGATAACAACACCCTAACAATTTAATGTAAAAGCAGGGATATTGAGAAGCAGCGATGTTCAGTCCTACCAGTACAAGGCAGTCCTTCCTAATGCCCACCCAGCGCCAGCACCTCTATCTACAGCGAGAGGCTGTCAAGCACGCCAGGCATTGCACGCATTTCTGATAACAAGGCTGTTACCACTTCGGCTGACCTCCAAGCACACAGGTCCAGACTTTGCTTGTTGACTTTTGGTATGTGGTTTGTTGGTTTATTTAAGTCGGAGCTGGCTCTTTGAGGAATGGGATGGGAAACGAGGGCAGGAGCAAGGAAGTCACTAGTAAAGTCATACAAGTCAGAAGAAGAATTTGTAGAGGAAAGAGTATCCTTGACTTTAGGAGGTGAAGCTTGTGTCTGCACCACGCAGAGACACACACTGTTATGCTATGACAGAGGTTAAAGCAATACAGCGTATTAAATGCAGGAATCAAGATGGTCATTGGAAAGCT